ACGAACTGGAGCGTCTTGTCGCCAAGTCCGAAAAGTCGCTTCTACGGCACGCTATGGAACAGCACGAAGCGAGCCAGAGGCAGGAAGGAAACTTTGTAGGCACTGCAGGGGGTGGTCAATTCTCCTCCATAACGAAGCGCTTTTTGAAGAGTGTGAAGGATCTGAACCAGGAGCTGCAGGGGCCCCACATGCAGCTTCACTTCATACGATGTTTCATCCCGAATTGCGAGATGAAGCCTGACGCTTTTGAAAGGAAGATCGTACTGCAGCAAGTGCGTAATATGTTGGTTGAAGTCTTTGAAATCTAACGGCGGGAGCAATGCTGATTAGTTAGATATGCAAAAAACATCGAAGATGCTGTTCCTGTTGTGGCATGCTTTTGCTGTAGTCCTGCTGTCGTAGTGGAAGATTGCCTATGGAATTTTCTTTTAGCTCCCCTACTGGTCTCATTGGAACCTTTATGCTGCTTTCTGCTTGCTGTGCAGCTGCAACATTCCGGATCGTTGGCTCTGGTTGATATCCTGCAGTCTGGGTTTCCTCACAGAATGCCACTGCACTCCCTGGCAGCCAAATTGCGAGCGGCTTTATGCCCTCTACTGAAGAAACGGCTCGAAGAGCAAGAGCAAAAAGTGCAAAAGCTAATGGAAGCAGAGAATAAAAATGTGCCACTCAATTTCGGAGTTTTACCCTCCGCTGAGGAAACTGCCCGCCAACGACGCTTGTTGGAGACTTTGAGGCACTGGGACCCAAATGCTTCTCGCGACCGAACACTAGGTAAATAAGGGAGGTTTTTCACAGCAGAAAAGCATCGTGACAAGTAAATTCCATCGAGCCAATACATTTCACGCAAGCATAAGCACGGAGGAAGCGTGGATGCGTTTGTGCTTGCTCTTGCAGCCTCTGCAACCCTGGGGTTGCTACCCCAATGCCGACCAGGCGCATTCATTTGTGGCGTTTCCCTCGTTTGCTTCAAGGCCTCTGCCTATGGGGAAGCTGCAGCGCTAATAGCTGATCCAGCACAGTTCTTCAAAACTCCTGAAGACCTATGCAGGCTAATCACGGCTATCCAACGTTTGCGGTGGCGTGTGGCTGTTCGCACCATTTTGCATGTGCACCCGAAGTTACTGTGGCTCCAGCGCAGAGCCTTCTTGATGAGGAAGATCAAGCAGGAGGCTGCCACTGCTGCCTTACGAGTGATACTGCTCAGGAAGCACATCCTTATCCCCTTGCGGGAACGTGCACAGCGACGGCTTTCCATTCGCCAGGGCGTGATTTCGCTTGAGCATATCCTGTTGCGCCGAGGCCTGCAATCATGGCGAAGCTACCGGCAGGCACTAGCAGCTGCAGACTCAGCGAAAAAGTCAGCTGCATGTCAGCCTCGAGCAAATGAGGAAGCCAAGTGCTCAAAAAGCTCCAGCGTACCTGAACAGAAGCTATGCGGAGGACAAGGTGAAGCGTCTGGGGCAGCAGGAGACGAGCACCAGCAACTTCATTTCATACCTTCTTGGAATGCTCGGCTCTTCCCTGTGGGGGACCATAGACAGAACGTCATTACAGAAGAACACGAAGTGGCTGTCTATCCCGGGAGAGACCTGTATTTTACCCGCATTAGCGGTGTCCCTCCAGTAGAGCCTGGTAAACCGGCACCAGAGAAGAAAAGATTGCAACAGCCTCCACAGAATTCTTACCTCTCCGCCAATTCACCGTCAGGACAAGAACAAACTCACGAAATTTCTGACATTTCAGCCGAGCGGATTGTTGGCGGTGAAGGCTACAGCGATCCCACTGTGCAGTTAGTTAGCACTGAAGCTCCGATTTTAACAATTGCAAAACACCCATTCTACACCAATTTGTTCATAGCCAGCAATTCAGCTGCTCACCTGTTGTTGCTTTTATCTCCCCGTACTGCTAATTCTGAAATGAAAGAAGAGGAGACGACAATAACAGATTGTGAAGGGTCTGTACCCAGTCGCACCGCGCCTCTTGGAGAACCCTCAACAATTCTGCCCCGTCTCGATTGCCCCTCAAGTCTTCCTTGTTCATCAAAAGGACTACCATCATCTAATGATGCTAGCGCTGACGCATCACATCGACCAGTGAGGATGCTGCGCAACTTTGCACCGGGGTTGTCAAATTTGTCTAATTTGCTCCCCGGCAGTGACGGCAGCGCCTCAGCCTTCCCGGAACGACTTTTGCCAACAGATGCGATTCCGCCCGGCAAGTGGCTACCCCGAGACCTTCTAGATCGCATTAGAGAGTCTTCTCAGGATCAGCTGTCTCATACAAGACACCCACGACCCCCAACTGTGCGGCCGCTCAGCGTTTCCTTTGCAAGCCCTATAACCGCAGATTATGCCATCGTCGTGTGCCTTGTGCAAGGCAAAAGCAGCAAGAACAACAACAATAACAGCAGCAGCACCGGCATAGGCAGCCTCACTCTCGTTCTAGTCGACTTGCTGAGGAGGGAACCTGCTGGCTGGATTCCTCTGTCTTTTGCGTCCCATGATCTATCAATCTGTGCTCGCCGCAACTCTGCGTGCCTTCAACAGCTGTCCCAAACAGCTTTCCCAGGGTCTAACACTAATGCTGGAAAAATCAAAAACGCAGCCGCTGAGCTTCGTGCTGCACGAAATCCTTTGCTTACGGCACGCACCCGTAGCACCATGCTCTCCACAATTCGTTTGCAACCTCTTTGGGGCAACGTGTGGGCAGTCACAGGCCCCTCCTTGCTCGCCATCTTCTCTATCAACCTTAGGTAAGA